TTTTCTTTTCCATTCTTCTTCTTTTCATTCTTTCATTTTCTTCTTTTCATTCTTCTTTTCATTCTTCTTTTCATTCTTCTTTCATCATTCTTCATCTTTTCATTCTTCTTTTCATTCTTCTTCATCTTCTTTTCTTCTTCTTTTCATTCTTTCTTCTTCTTCTTTCTTCATTTTCTTCTTCTTCTTCTTTTCATTCTTCTTTTCATTCTTCTTCTTCTTCATTCTTCTTCTCATTCTTCTTTTCATTCTTCTTTTCATTCTTCTTTCTTCTTCTTTTCATTCTTCTTCTTCTTCATTCTTCTTTTCATTTCTTCTTCTTCTTCATTCTTCTTTTCATTCTTCTTCTTCTTCTTTTCATTCTTCTTTTCATTCTTCTTCTTCTTCTTTCTTTTCATTCTTCTTCTTTTCTTTTCATTCTTCTCATTCTTCTTTTCATTCTTCTTCTTCTTCTTCTCATTCATTTTTCTTCTTCTCTTTTCATTCTTCTTCTTCTTCTTCTTTTCATTCTTCTTTTCTTCTTCTTCTTCTTCTTCTTCTTCATTCTTTTCTTCTTCTTTTCATTCTTCTCCTTCTTCTTTTCATTCTTCTTCTTCTTTTCATTCTTTTCATTCTCTTCTTCTTCTTTTCATTCTTCTTCTTCTTCTTCTCTTCTTACTTCTTCTTTTCATCATTCTCATTCCTTCTTCATTCTTCTTCATTCTTCTTCTTCTTCTTCTTCTTCTTTTCTTCTTCTTTTCTTCTTCTTCTTCTTCTTCTTTCATTCTTCTTCTTCATTCTTCTTCATCTTCTTTTCATTCTTCTTCTTCTTCTTCATTCTTCTTTTCATTCTTCTCATCTTCTTCTTCTTTTTCATTCTTCTCTTCTTCTTTTCATTTTCTTCTTCTTCATTTTTCTTTTCTTCTTTTCATTCTTCTTTTCATTCTTCTTTTTCTTCTTTTCATTCTCTTCTCTTCTTTTCATTCTTCTTCTTCTTTTCATTTCTCTTCTTTCTTCTTCTTCTTTTCATTCATTCTTCTTCTTCTTTTCATTCTTTCTTTTCATTCTTCTTTCTTCTTCATTCTTCTTCTTCTTCTTCTTCTTCGTCGTGCCCCGTGACTGCCCAAATGAGTGAAGTGTGCGGTGATTCTAAGATCGACGGCACTCATCTGCATGTCTCATACTGACTGACAGTATTATTTCTCTTCCCCAGCAGACTCCAAGGGCATTTAAATTAAAGGTACAGTGTTCTGCACTAATATAAAGGCTCTCTGAAGCCTAGAAACCCTTTAAATAAGTTAAATTCGCGGCGAATAAATTCGCATCGAATCGAATTTCTCCCGCAAATTCGGCGAATCAGCCGAATCGAATTTTTGAATAATTCGCTCATCTCTAATGACGACGCACAGAAATAAGAAAAAACCTAATGACCACTGACCCGTCCGCACCGCCGAGGACTTGCCGCTATCTACTCTATCGCTATCGACTCGAACATCCAGGACAACACTAGACTTCCATCCGATGGTCATCTGTTGTGATCTGCACAAGTTTTGGATTAAAAGCTGTTTATGATCTGCAAGATAACATTTGGATCGAGTCACTGTCTGCAAATTCTACAGAGACTGTAAGTTACAGCTATATTGCCACAACTGGATCAGTTTTAGAGATCCCCCTTGTAGTGCTTATTTTGGAGAGGGCAGAACATATCCTTTAACCTCAAGACCCGATGAAGGGGGAGTTTTTTTCTGACCCCAAAACGTGTTGACTGTTTTTTTTTTTGGGTATAAACCAATAACTTCTTGCTACCCATATAAAGCATATGTGGTTTATATGGGCAGGAACAGGTCACAGGCCACACATATGGGTCAATGGACGTCCATTTGATGTTCATCTGTTGTGATCTGCACAAGTTTTGGATTAAAAAGCTTTTTATGATCTGCAAGATGACAGTTGGATCGAGTCACTGTCTGCAAATTCTATGGAGACTGTAAGTTACAGCTATATTGCCACAAACTGAATCAGTTTTAGAGATCCCCCTGTAGTGCTTAGTTTTGGAGAGGCAAAACATATATTTTACCCCTAGCCCTGAAGAAGGGGGGTTTCTTTTTCTGACTCTGAAACGTCTTGGCTGTTTTTTTAGTATAAATTAATAAACCTTTTGCTAGCCATGTAAAGCATATATGCTTTATGTGGGCAATAAGAGGTCACGGGTCGCACATATGGATCAATGGATGTCCATTTGATGTTCATCTGTTGTGATCTGCACAAGTTTTGGTTTAAAAAAGCTTGATGACAGTTGGATCGAGTCACTGTCTGCAAATTCTACAGCAAGAGATCATGTGTCACACATATGTGTCAATGGATGTCCAAGGTTTCTGTGCTCACTGTCCACCCCAAGAAAACTGACTGAGCTGTCATTGACAGCTCCCGGTCTCTAGTTATTTTTGGGAGTCATTGGCCGATCATATGACCGTGGTGACAACCAAGTACAGTGGTCACATGACCGTGGTGACAGCCCATTGCAGTGGTCACATGATTGGCCATACATTTACACCTCCCCCTCCCATCACTGGTGGCACTGGGACTGGGTGGGAGGGGGTTAAAGTGAAGCAGTGAGGATTGAGATCTGGCACCTGCCATTACACATGTCTTGGTAGAGGTGCAAAATTTGGGACTGTCATCCTGATCCTGGCTTGTTCCAGGTCCATGACTTCCCAGGTGGTGAGGAGGGGATCAGGATGACAATCCAGGAGGCTTCAGTCTCAGAATCCTTGAGAGAAGTAAGGACTCCGGGACTTCACTCCCCACCATCCACCAAACATGGAAAATACCAATTTTAGGTGGAGAGAAGCTTCATTTCTATCTCTATAGGTCTGAAATTTTCACCCACAGAGGACTCGGCAGATAGCGTCACGGAACGCAGAGATTTGTTTGTACATCGCCCCCTCCGCCTCATCCGAAATAAGTTCCCATGGTGACGATAATTTATCCTTCAATCACAATGTGTGTGTCAGCTCGGAGGAATGTGAACAAACTATTTCAACATTCCATTAGAACAATGGTGACAATGAGAAGTGAAAGTCTCTCGAATGAAGAGGAGGGAAATATCGCACCTCCGCAATCTCAGCATTCAATGACAATTAAACGCAGGGAGAGGTGACTTGGGGTGAAAGGCACTTCGGGGACCATCAGAGTTTACCGGATGAAGAGAAAACGACCTAACATTTCCAACTTTTCGGAATTTTTTGGTCAATCTGAGCCGAGAAATATTAATTATTTACAGAAAATAAAAAACGTCATTCATTTAGCGTACCTACATGAGCATTTGTTCAGTGCAAACCGGGCAGAAATTTCTTTTGTACGAATTTTTTGGTCATCTGAGCTGAGAAATAATGGCCATTTACAGAAAATAAAATCTAGTCATTCATAGGTACCTACATGAGCACTATGTTCAGCCCAAAGTTTGGGCAGAAATGAATGTTCTCTAGGCTTTTTGTCTTTTGACAACACTTTTAGCTTCATACTGTATAATGGCCACTCAGATAGAGCTTAGTCATAGGAAATGCATCCAATATTGCCCCAGTATTGGGCCTGCCCTTCCCACACACATGACCTTTAATGGCCCCCCAGTCTTAGTCCGTTGGGTTCAATATTGAGTCGGCCCCCGCCCTTCCCACGCATATGACCTTTAATGGCCTCCCAGTCTTAGTCTGTAGGGTCCAATACTGAGTTGGCCCCGCCCTTTCCACGCACATGACCTTTAATGGCCTCCCAGTCTTAGTCCATAGGGTCCAATATTGAGTTGGCCCCCCCTTTCCTTCACGCACATGACCTTTAATGGCCTCCCAGTCTTAGTCCATAGGGTTCAATATTGAGTTGGCCCCACCCTTGCCACACACATGACCTTTAATGGCCCCCCAGTCTTAGTCCGTAGGGTTCAATATTGAGTTGGCCCCGCTCTTTGCAGCTATAACAGCTTCAACTCTTCTGGGAAGGCCGTCCACAAGCTTTAGGAGGGTGTCTATGGGAAGGTTGGACCATTCTTCCAGAAGCACATTTGTCAGGCACTGATGTCGGGGGAGGAGGCCTGGCTCGCAGTCTCCACTCTAATTCATCCCAAAGGTGTTTTATGGGGTTGAGGTCAGGACTCTGTGCAGGACAGTCAAGTTCCTCCACCCCAAACTGGCTCCTCCATGTCTTTATGGACCTTGCTTTGTGCACTGGTGGGCAGTCATGTTGGAACAGGAAGGGGCCATCCCCAAACTCCTCCCACAAAGTTGGGAGCATGAAATTGTCCAAAATGTCGCCTAAAGAGTTCCCTTCACTGGAACTAGGGGGCCAAGCCCAACCCCTGAGGAACACCCCCACACCATAATCCCCCCTCCACCAAACTTGACACTTGGCACAATGCAGTCAGGCAAGTACCGTTCTCCTGGCAACTGCCAAACTCAGACACGTCCATCGGATTGCCAGACAGAGAAGAGTGATTGGTCACTCCAGAGAACACGTCTCCACTGCTCTAGAGTCCAGTGGCGGTGTGCTTTACACCACGGCATCCGACGCTTTGCATTGCACTTGGTGATGGAAGGCTTGGATGCAGCTGCTCGGCCATGGAAACCCATTCCATGAAGCTCTCTACGCACTGTTGTTGGGCTCATCTGAAGGCCACACCAAGTTTGGAGGTCTTTAGCTATTGACTCTGCAGACAGTTGGTGACTTCTGCGCACTGTGCGCTTCAGCATGCGCTGACCCCCGCCCTGTCATGTGACGTGGCCTACCACTTGGTGGCTGAGTGGCTGTTGTTCCCAGTTGCTTCCACTTTGTTATAATCCCACTAACAGTTGAGCGTGGAATATTTAGTAGCCAGGAAATGTCACGGATGGACTTATTGCCCAGGTGGCCACCTATCACGGGACCACGCGCTTGGAGTCACTGAGCTCCTGAGAGTGACCCATTCTTTCACCAATGTTTGTAGAAGCAGTCTGCATGCCTAGGGGCTTGATTGTATACACCTGTGTCCATGGAGGGGATTGGAACACCTGAATCACATGATATGGAGGGGATTGGAACCCCTGAATCACATGATATGGAGGGGATTGGAACACCTGAATCACATGATATGGAGGGGATTGGAACACCTGGATCACATGATACGGAGGAGATTGGAGCACCGGAATCACATGATATGGAGGGGATTGGAGCACCTGTATCACATGATATGGAGGGGATTGGAGCACCTGTATCACATGACATGGAGGGGATTGGAGCACCTGAATCACATGATTGGGAGGGGATTGGAACACCTGAATCACATGATTGGAGGGGATTGGAGCACCTGAATCACATGATTGGGAGGGGATTTGAACACCTGAATCACATGATTGGGAGGGGATTAGAGCACCTGAATCACATGATTGGGAGGGGATTGGAACACCTGAATCACATGATTGGGAGGGGATTGGAACACCTGAATCACATGATTGGGAGGGGATTGGAACACCTGAATCACATGATTGGAGGGGATTGGAGCACCTGAATCACATGATTGGGAGGGGATTGGAACACCTAAATCACATGATTGAGAGGGGATTGGAACACCTGAATCACATGATTGGGAGGGGATTGGAACACCTGAATCACATAATTGGGAGGGGATTGGAACACCTGAATCACATGATTGGGAGGGGATTGGAACACCTGAATCACATGATTGGAGGGGATTGGAGCACCTGAATCACATGATTGGGAGGGGATGGGAACACCTGAATCACACATGATTGGGAGGGCGGGGCCAATACTTCTGGCATTATAGTGTATGCTATTTCAATTGTGTAATTAAAACTTGGTTTTATAAATCTTGTACTCTTTGGCACCACTAAATTCTGTACATTTTTTCTATGTGCATTTTATACAACAATTGACAAAAGGAAGCAGCGACATTTCCCCGAGATGCCCTCATGGTAGCCAACTGCTGTAAATGATTAATTTTCTATCTTCTACTCTTTCCAAACAACATCGATACAATGTCAGAAGAACGCTGGAGGAGGTTGGCAAATAAATGTAATCGTTGGAGAATAAATTGCAATTGGTTACATTTATTTGCTAATTCGCTCTAGAATTGTTACATTGTATCTCTTGCTACAAAGACATACAGTATGTCCTATGCTCCCCAGCTCCATCTAATGGCCACTTTGAGAAATTGCACGACTAGACAGTTTACTGCCCTTCAAACTTTAGGGGGGCCAGATTGTGGCCAGTGGGGGTAGAAAATGCTCCGCATCAGTGGGAGTAAACCATACCCTAGGCTTGGTGTCAGTGGGAGGAATAGTGCCCCATCATTTGTGTCAGTGGGAGGAACAGTGCCCCATCATTGGGGTCAGTGGGAGGAATAGTGCCCCATCATTGGGGTCAGTGGGAGGAACAGTGCCCCGTCATGGTGTCAGTGGAAGGAATAGTGCCCCATCATCGGATTCAGTGGGAGGAACAGTGCCCCGTCACTGGTGTCAGTGGGAGGAACAGTGCTCTATCATTGGTGTCAGTGGGAGGAATAGTGCCCCATCATTTGTGTCAGTGGGAGGAATAGTGCCCCATCATTGGTGTCAGTGGGAGGAATAGTGCCCCATCATTGGTGTCAGTGGGAGGAATAGTGCTCCATCATCGGTGTCAGTGGGAGGAACAGTGCCCCATCATTGGTGTCAGTGGGAGGAATAGTGCCCCATCATCGGTGTCAGTGGGAGGAATAGTGCCCCATCATTGGTGTCAGTGGGAGGAATAGTGCCCCATCATTGGTGTCAGTGGGAGGAATAGTGCCCCATCATTGGTGTCAGTGGGAGGAATAGTGCCCCATCATTTGTGTCAGTGGGAGGAATAGTGCCCCATCGCTGGTGTCAGTGGGAGGAACAGTGCCCCATCATGGTGTCAGTGGAAGGAATAGTGCCCCATCATTGGTGTCAGTGGGAGGAATAGTGTCCCATCATTGGTGTCAGTGGGAGGAATAGTGCCCCATCATTGGTGTCAGTGGGAGGAATAGTGTCCCATCATTGGTGTCAGTGGGAGGAATAGTACCCCCATCATTGGTGTCAGTGGGAGGAATAGTGCCCCATCATTGGTGTCAGTGGGAGGAATAGTGCCCCATCATTGGTGTCAGTGGGAGGAATAGTGCTCCATCATTGGTATCAGTGGGAGGAATAGTTGCCCCATCATTGGTGTCAGTGGGGGGAATAGTGCCCCATCATCGGTATCAGTGGAAGGAATAGTGCCCCATCATTGGTGTCAGTGGGAGGAATAGTGCCCTATCGTTGGTGTCAGTGGGAGGAATAGTGCCCCATTATTGGTGTCAGTGGGAGGAATAGTGCCCCGTCGCGGGGTGTCAGTGGGAGGAATAGTGTCCCATCATTGTGTCAGTGGGAGGAATAGTGCCCCATTATTGGTGTCAGTGAAGGAATAGTGCCCCATCATTGGTGTCAGTGGGAGGAATAGTGTCCCATCATTGGTGTCAGTGAAGGAATAGTGCCCCATCATTGGTGTCAGTGGGAGGAATAGTGCCCCATCATTGGTGTCAGTGGGAGGAATAGTGCCCCATCATTGGTGTCAGAGCGAGGAATAGTGCCCCATCATTGGTGTCAGAGCGGGAGGAATAGTGCCCCATCATTGGTGTCAGAGCGAGGAATAGTGCTTAATATAAGTGGCAGCTAAAGTGCCCCAAGGGCCAGATAAAAGCAAGCAAAAGGTCACATCCAGACCCCTATTTTAGCAAATACAGATAAGCTAAGAGTAACAATATAATAATAATAATAATAATAATAATAATAAAAAAAAAGAGTAACAATAGTAATAATTAAAACAAAAAGTATTATTATTATTTTTTTTTATTATTATTATTAATATTATTATTAATAATATAAAAAAAAATAAAAATAATAGTAAAAAAAGTAACCATATTAGTTATATTAGTTAAAATTATATGGATAAGAAAGAGTAATTATATAAATAATAAATAATAATAATAAAAAAAAAGTAAAATAATAATTATGATAAAGAGTAACAATATTATTAGCATTATTATTACTATTATTATTATTATTATTGTTACTAATTATTATTACTCTTTATTATCAATATAATTGTAAATATTATAACTATTATGTTTTGTTACGATTACTAATTATTATTATTATTATTATTATATATTAATAATAAAGAATAAAAATAAAAATTATAGTTAATAATAATGCTAATAAAAAAAAATAATAATAATTAGTAATCGTAACAAACATAATAGTTATAATATTTACAATTATATTGATAATAAAGAGTAATAATAATTAGTAACAATAATAATAATAATAATAATAATGCTAATAATATTGTTACTCTTTATCATAATTATTATTTTACTCTTTTTTATTATTATTATTATATATAATTACTCTTTCTTATCCATATAATTTTAACTAATATAACTAATCTGGTTACTTTTTTTTACTATTATTACTACTTTTATTCTTAATATTAATAATAATAATAAATAATAAATAATAATTAGTAACAATATTATTAGCATTATTATTATTATTGTTACTAATTATTATTACTCTTTATTATCAATATAATTGTAAATATTATAACTATTATGTTTGCTACTACTAATTATTATTAGCATTATTTTTACTATTATTATTATTATTATTATTAATAATAATAATAATAATTAGTAGTCGTAGCAAACAAACATAATAGTTATAATATTTACAATTACATTGATAATAAAGAGTAATAATAATAATAAGTAACAATAATAATTATGATAAAGAGTTAAAATATTACAATATTAGAGAGAAACAATATTAATATTAGTGAGTAAAAAATAATAATTATAACAAAGAATAACAATAATAATTATATAAAGATGAATATGGAGTTAAGGGTCCAGGAACTCGGAATTCTGTGCACATCATTTGTACTGTTGATATAAAATGATTCTGCGTTCCCCATTTATAAATATAGAAGCAGAATGAAGAAATGAAGACAATCAATCGTTTAATAAGATCAGAATGATAAAATAAATGATAAAATATGGAGATCAGAAGAAGCTCATTAAGGACTGAGATCAGATCCTAAACTCCCGTACTGCGGGGTATAGAGCATTTCCTGCTCTGCTGCTGCCACCTGCTGGACAAAATGACAGTACCACCAGTCTCCATGTTCTGTATGGGATTGCCTTGCAGTGTGCAGAATATTTTCTATCAAAAAAGTGGCTCAGCCACGTGTTAATAACGCCCCCCACCCCTTTCAATGACATACTTTTCTTCGAACCTCAATGAACTCATATAAAATATATCTAATTAGCACGGTTTGTCTTCAATATTTGATAACTGCGAGATATCACGATGACTGGATGGATGATCCCGATCTCAGCCAGAGGGAGACTCTGCAGATACGCGCATGAAATCACCGCGAGTTATAGAAACATAGTCCAATCAGAAAACTGCGTACAATCATCAATACAACTACAAAGAACACGGAGCCAGTGACATCACCACCCCTGTATATGTCAGATAATGTATAATAGTGTGTGACCGTGGGGGAGGGGGCATTAGAGTGTAAGCTCCTCTGGTACAGAGACTGATGGGACTGTGGGGGAGGGGACATTAGAGTGTCAGCTCCTGTGGTACAGAGACTGATGGGACTGCGGGGGAGGGGGCATTAGAGTGTACGCTCCTCTGTTACGGAGACTGATGTGACTGCGGGGGAGGAGACATTAGAGTGTAAGCTTCTCTGGTACGGAGACTGATGTGACTGCGGGGGAGGGGACATCAGAGCGTAAGCTCCTCTGGTACGGAGAATGATGGGACCGTGGGGGAGGGGACATCAGAGCGTAAGCTCCTCTGGTACGGAGAATGATGGGACCGCGGGGGAGGGGACATCAGAGCGTAAGCTCCTCTGGTACGGAGACTGATGGGACCGCGGGGGAGGGGACATCAGAGCGTCAGCTCCTGTGGTACAGAGACTGATGGGACCGTGGGGGAGGGGACATTAGAGCGTAAGCTCCTCTGTTACAGAGACTGATGGGACCGCGGGGGAGGGGACATCAGAGCGTAAGCTCCTCTTGTATGGAGAATGATGGGACCGTGGGGGGAGGGGGGACATCAGAGCGTAAGCTCCTCTGGTACGGAGACTGATGGGACCGCGGGGGAGGGGACATCAGAGCGTAAGCTCCTCTGGTACAGAGACTGATGGGACTGCGGCGGGGGAGGGGGACATTAGAGCGTAAGCTCCTCTGGTACAGAGACTGATGGGACTGGGGGGGAGGGGACATTAGAGCGTAAGCTCCTCTGGTACAGAGGCTGCAGGGTGTCTATATAACTATACTACGTCTGGATGTAACAATGTAACAGATGATATGAGAAGATGGGGTTAGGATTAGATTTGTTATAAAGTCTCTCCAATGTTACAAATTGCTGAATGTTTATTTTTTTGGGGGGAATAAATGAAGTTTCTCTCCCTCCGAAATCCAGAATTCGGCGGTATTTGGTTACTTAATTGTGAGAGATGTGCGGGAAATGTCACTCCGGAGATGGCGCCTCCGCGATCGGCTCCCTGACAAAGTGCGTTCTCCGTCTAAAAAGGAAAAAAAAAAAACCCGTCGATTATCTAAAAGTCAATTGTCATTCAGCCTCTTTAGGA